CTTCCCTTTTTTTTTTTCAACTTGTGGTTGATTAATTTTAAGATGTAGAATTGTTGTTTGGTCTCTAAAGGATGTTATAAAGGTAGAAAATAATGATCAACCACTCTGGATGAAATGGAGGTTGTATATTAATAGCTTGAAAAGTTTGAGATTGTTTAAGATTAGAAAGCAGATTAAATTCGCGAACTAGATTTTTACCGGATAATGCTGCCGTTCGAGCGAGAAGTGATGGCCAACAAGGGACGGTTTGTCACTCGAGCAAGAGTTGAGCAACAGTCGAGTGACAACTTTCCATTGATTTTGTAATGCGGCTACTCGAGCGAGACGACAATAGTCTAACCAAATTACAATGTCAATTTTCCTTGTTCCATAATTGATCTCCAAGACTTCCTATACAACTAAACAACAATCCAAGTAATTTCCTTGACTTTTACAACTCTTTTATAATAATCTTTTTGTCTAGCGAATAGCCAATACAAATTAAAATCTAACAATATCCCATTTAGCACTATGTGACAAAACTATACGATACAAGTCAAGGAATTAAAAAAAAAATTAATCTGCTCAAACTCAAACTGAATGCCTGTCTCTTGCATTCCCTGTTAAAACCCATTTTTAAAATCAACAACTCAAATACTAAGTGTAAAACACGTGAAAGAGGAAATAGAACAATTGAAACATATTATCATAAATATGCTTGCAAGATTGAGAAGTAATACTAATGTTAATTAAAACACCAACTGAAACATCAATATTACAAAGCATCAAAACTCAAAAAGCTATGCATTATGATACGAAATGCCATGAAATACTATCATCTTCCCCTTATTACAAACTCTTACTAAATTGCAATTAAATAAAATGCCAATCATCTTTCCCCTTTTTATCACAAATGATAAAGACAACTACATCAAATGCAATCATCTTTCTTCTCCCCCATTTTTTTTTTCATTCAAATATCATTATAAAAAACAACAATTCATAATAACTCCAGGATGTAGTTGATAGTATGAACAAGTATAATCAATGATTATTAAATTTTTCCACATACTCAGTTCAAATCTTAAAGAGAAAATTGTATAAGTGTCTCATATATGTAAAGTACCACTAATTCCTTGTGAACAAGACTCCAAACCTTAAATCTGTGAAAAAAGACATGCTGATCACCACTGCAAAATAAGTTTATTTTCCTAGTAATGAAAGTCAAAATGGCACATTAAAACTTATAAATGAAGCTCATTTTTCATGTATATTATTCTTTCCTATCTGTCTTTGAGCATATATACAATTTTTGCACAATTTCTAATTTTTAAGATCATCATTTTTCTTTTCAATATGTAGACTATTCTCCATTAAGCGACTAAAATGACTTTTGGGCCGATCCTCCAAGTCAATTAACCATAGGGCATCATGTTACGAGAATACCCTTCGGATTTAATTACTCGAGTTAAATAGGCTCCGAAAAAGAGTATGAAATGAAATAATTTTTCTTTTAAGGGGATATATATAGCTTAGGTCTATTAAATTGAGGTCAATCCATGTTCAAGGTTATTTTACCAACAGATGATGGCCATCCCAATTCTTACACGTGGTTAAGATTCACTCATAAGATCATAGTATGTGCAATGCAGATGGTATGTGAAGAAATCTATACTAAATACTTCACATAAACCTAAAAAAAAGCAATAGAAACTACAGAACATTAATTAAACTCATACTTTGTAATAACACACATGTTCAAGTATATCATATATCATACTGTAATTTCAAGGAAAAAATCCTTTTATTTTGAGTCAGAGCATCTCTATGATCATAGAGATCACTATTCTTAACCCAGACTTGCTTAGTGGAAACTTATTCTGAGTTATTCGTGTCATTAACTCAATCAATTGATTCATCTGATTAGTAAGGAAGTCAATCTGGCTATCAAAATCATTATTTCTATTTATAGTGAAATTTTGATTTTTATTTCTATTCAGGAATTTATGACCTTTAGGCCTCATATGTCATAAGTCACCACAATTGAAATAAGTAGAGATAAACCTAGGTCCAAAGTTATGTACTCATTGATATCTATTCCTAGGTTGGTAAGTCCTACGCTGTCTAGTAGGCATTTGTCTTATATTCTTTGAGTTCAAGATTAGAAACATACTTAGGTTGGTTATGATCGGGACAAAAGTGAGTTGGAAATACCAGCAGTATTATGATCACTTTAATTATATCCTAAACCTCTTGTTCATCCCTAAAATATTATCAAGCTTGTTATAACTACTAGAGAATGAAAGAAATTGGGTGTTGGATTTTTCAAGATCGTTCGCAAGTGTCTTAACCTTATTTTCTAAGGATTCATTCACAATACTCAACTCACTATGTCTTCTAAAGGACTCCTCAATCTCACTCATAAGATTCTTAACTTTAGCTTGTAATGATTCATTCACAGAATTTAGCTTACTAAGGTACAAGGTAGATTCCTGAAGGTGAGCTACATAAGTCTTTCTTTTTCTAGCTCAAGTTCATTAACCTTATTAAAAATGACTTTACTTATCTTCTTTATCTTAAGACTCTCTTGAAATAACTGATGATAAGCCCTTCGATCTCTTTCTCATCTTCAGAATCTTCCTCAAAGTGCTCACCATTATCTACTTCATCAACGTTGTCACTGTCCTTATCAGATTCACTCCTAATCCTAGCAGTGAAGACCATAAACTCCTCACTCTCATCATGAGTGGACCTCTTACTTTGATTATCCGAGTTAGACTCATCATTAGTGAGAGTTGCATTAATAGCTTTATCCTAATTTTTCTTACTATTAGGATACTTACTCCTATACTGACCAAAAGTTTGATACTTATGACATTTCACAGATTGAGATCTCTTTCAAGACTCATTGGGAGCAACTCTATGTATCTCTTGAAACTTCTTCTTATTTATAAAATTTTTTCAAAATTTCTTAGCGAAATAAGTTATCTCCTCATCATTAATGATCTTTGTATTAGTAGAGTCACACTCTTCTTCTCTAATAGTGTCCATGGCAATGGACTTGTTCTTTTTAGGCGAAATATGGTGAGTTCATAAGTTTGGAGAAATTCAACTAATTCTTCAATCTTAACCTATTTAAATCTCTGCTCTTCTCGATATTCATGATTTTAGGCCAAAATCTCTCAAGTAAGGATCTAAAGACAATTTTCCCAATTTTTGTTTCCAAGAATTTCTTACCTAGGTTGAAGCTAAAGTTTACTATGTCATTTAAGTTTGAATAGAAATCATCTAATGATTCATCATCCTTCATTTTAGTTTCTTCAAACCTAGTGGTCAGCATCTACTATTTGGAATTCTTAACAATTTTGGTTCCCTCATGTATGGTCTGAAGTATATCCCAAACCTCTTTCGCAGTCTCACAAATTGATACTCTCCTAAACTCTTCAGTGGATATGGCTCATAAATAGGGCATTAAGTCCTTTACTATCCTAGTTACACCATCTAACTCAGTTTTAGACTAACTGGCAACCTCTGTAAAGGTAACTACACCTGCAATGATAGGAGAATGGGTAGTCCAACAATTATGTGTACTAAACCAAATCCACTCATCCATAAACTTAAGAAAGGATCTCATTCTAACCTTTCAATAGGCATAATTGCTTTCGTTAAAATATGGAGGCATGGAAAGAGACTAACTCATCTAGATTACGTTAGGGTCAGAAATCGAATATATGTATCATAATACCAATTTACGAATTGAATGTTACTAGTTCAACACTAAAATCACCTAGATGAGGGTGAGTAGGTGCATAACCAGGAATTAAAATTATCAATTAAAAGCAATAAGTCACCTTTTAATTGTTCTAGAAGTTTAGTCAATCAAGTTAATTTTAAACTATGTTGAATTGCCACATTAGTAAATAAAGCAGTAAATAACATAAGATTTGTTGACGGAGAAAATCTTTATAGGATTAAAAATTCCGGGATCAAGCTAGTGACTTCCACTATAAATAATAGGAGCATACAGTATGATCCATCATAGAAATCCCACTAGACTTGCTGATCTAATACCTGCAATCTCCAAGACTCGCTAGAACGTGCTTCACTCACACATGCTCTTGATCTTATCAAATTGTTCATCTCTTGTGGATCACCAAGAATACCTTATTCTTGTACTATTTCGATACTTCTCGTCCGTCCTTTCTCAAATTTTACTAACCTCTAAAAAGGCTATTGAGGAAGTACCTTCTTGATTATATTTAAAAGTGGCTGCTTTGGATTATCTGATTTTGATATTTTCCCTAACTTGTGGTTGATTGATCTCAAGATATAGAATTGTTGTTTGATCTCTAAAGGATGTTATGAAAATAGAAAATAATAATCAACCACTTTAGAGGTTGAATATTTATAGTTTGGAGACTTGGGTTGTTTAGGATTATAAAACAAATTAAACTCGCGAACTAGGTTTTTGCTGGTAACACCGCCACTCAAGCTAGAAGTGAGTGGTCAGGGAGGGAAGATTTATCGCTCAAGCGAGAGTCGAGCGATGGTGAAGCGACAACTTTTTGTTGATTTTGTAATGCGATTGCTCGAGCTAGACTTGGGTAGTTGTCTAACCAATGTGCGATGCCAATTTTCTTTGTTCCATAATTGATCTCAAAGACTCCCTATCCAACTAAACAATTAACCAATTGATTTCTTCGATTTTTACAACTCTTTTATAATAATCCTTTTATTTAAAGAATAGCCAATACAAATTTAAACCTAACATACTAGATCCAATTATTTAACTTTTACATTGTACTCCTCAACTTCGAACAATTTAAGTTTACTTTTATTGTATCTTTAATGTATTAAAAAGAAATATCATTAGCCTACACACGTTTGCATGCATACACTTTTTGTGGAGAAGAGAGAGAGAGATAAAAATGAAACAAGAAATTTAATTTGCAATGAATTATGACTAAACATTGCATAAACTTGATTCCTTCTTTTTTCCCTAAGTCACTTTATGTCTTTGCTTTGCCTTTGCTTACCACCATCAACGCTCTCTCTCTCTCTCTCTCTCTCTCTCTCTATAAAGGCAAAGGCAAGATCATCTATCCCACTATTCTCTCCTCTCACATTTTCACCATGACTGATAATCCCTGCTCAAATTTCTACACAGACTGGTACAGATTCAACCCTTTACACCATTTTTCTACCAAAAGTCCTCCTCATTACCTGATGAGTTCTCCATATATTCACAACTTGTACTCATCAAACAGTCAAACCCCCCCTTCTTCATCTCCTGTGAGAGAAGCTCTTCCCCTTCTGAGCTTAAGCCCCACTAGAAATAATGAAGAAAAACAAGAGCCCTTTTGGAATTCAGACATGGATTTGGACAAGAACAAAGAGACAGAAGATAGGGTTACTGCTGTTGATAATGAAGGGGTTACTGTTGCTCTGCACATAGGGTTACCAAACCCTAGCGCTGCTGATCTGGCATCTATACTCTCTGAAACCACTACTAAAGATGAAGAATCTGATGTTTCAGGTTATCCAATCAACAGACTCAAGGGACAATATTGGATTCCTACCCCTTCTCAGATTCTTATAGGTCCAACACAGTTTTCATGTCCTGTTTGCTTCAAAACCTTCAACAGATACAACAACATGCAAGTGAGTTCAGCAAAAAATATGTTTAGATACAGTGAATGTTATTCTAATCTTTGATTCCCCTTTTTTTTAGTAGATGTCAAACTGTTTATCAAAACCTTAAGTCTGGAAAAAAGATTGCAGTTAATTATGGGATATTCAAAGTTGTAAGAGAATTAGACTTCAGCTTCTTTTTCTTGGATTGAATGTCCCATAAAAGTTTATTGTTTTTCATTTGAGTTCAATACCGGTATATGGCATGGGTTGTGGGAGGTTTCAATTAGTCAGCCTGCTTATTGATCTGAAACTGAGATTAGTATTCTTTCATCAGGCAATATTCCTTGTGCTTTTAGTCCTCTTCGAAGTCTGTGCCTTACAAATGGTTAACTCTGTAAACCACTGAAACTTCAAAAGTTATCAGACACAGATCATCTTTGTAAGAAAGAGAGAATTCCCACTTTCAGCCTGCAAACAGATCAATTTACTGACTTGAAAAATACATACCTAAACCTTCCAGCGCTTTTTAACTTTGAAAGTTATCTCTTTTCTTCCGGTTTAGATCTTATGAACAAAGAATCAATAATGGTACCTAATTAAAGTGCTTAATTAATAGGAGAAAAATATACTCACTATTTGAAAGAAATTAACCACAATTTTCGGATCAACAGTTCTTTTTTGGACTCGTAACCTTTTCCAAAAAAGGTATTCCACGTGAAGAATTATGCTCATCTTTATACAACGGACCTACGGAATTCACATCTTTACATCTTTTTTCTACTTATTTTCTTTGATCCTTTTGTTTTTCTATGGTCTGAACAATTTAGATTATCTGTTGTTTTCATTAGGTTTAGTGTAAATCGTAATTCTTGGACAGTTCATATTATTGTTTGACTTTTAAACTGTTGACACACCTCGTCTAGAAGGTTAGTGAGAGGGCAACTTTAGTTATGTAGTACATTCTTCAACAAACCCCTGAATTTTAGGATTTTGTAACTTTGTTTAAGAAATTTAATAGATGCAGTGACATAATCTGAGGTAGCGCCAAATGATTGGATTTAAAAGGTAACTGTGTTTAAAATAGTTCAATGATAAAATGTCCCGTGGCATTATGTTAAGAATTATGGCACTGTAGCATGATTCTGAATTTTAAATGATATTCAAGTCACACTTTAATCTGTATCTAGGAATTTTGAATTTTGCTGCAGATGCACATGTGGGGGCATGGATCACAGTATAGAAAAGGGCCTGAATCTCTAAGAGGCACTCAACCAACAGGAATGCTCAGACTCCCTTGTTATTGCTGTTCGCCTGGTTGCAAAAACCACATTGACCATCCAAGAGCAAAACCCTTGAAAGATTTCAGAACTCTTCAAACTCATTACAAGAGGAAGCATGGAACCAAGCCTTTCATGTGTAGAAAATGTGGCAAAGCTTTTGCAGTGAGAGGAGATTGGAGAACCCACGAAAAGAATTGTGGTAAACTTTGGTACTGCATTTGCGGTTCTGATTTTAAGCACAAAAGATCCTTAAAAGATCATATTAAAGCTTTTGGGTATGGCCATGGAGCTTTGGGAATTGATGGTTTTGAAGAAGAAGATGAACCTGCATCAGAAATTGAACAAGATGATGAGTCCATGCAGTAGTAATAAGTATATAAATATATAAATATATATATAAAATAAAATTGCAGTAATTAATTAAGCTTTTCCAAGGATATCTCAATTTTAAGAGGCAGATTTGCTTTATTTTGCAGGAATTTCTTGGCTATGTGGGGGAGAATATATGATGAAACTTAAATTATATTATTAATCAAGCTCAGCTTGAACTATTTTCTTGTAAATTATTTACTCCTTTCGAGTTTCAAGTATTCCTCTCTTTTTTTTTCCCTTAAATATTTGATACTCCTGGAATTCTCAATATAAAGCAACAACTTCGACAACAATTCGTTCATCTTTCTAGTAATTTGAACAAACAAAATTAACTTTAAAGGCAGTGGTCATGCATGGGAACAAAGGCCCGTAAAGTACGGCAATTGGCAAAGTTATTAACTAAAACAAATTGTAAAACATTAAAGGGTTGAGAATCATGTCGTAAAATTAAATGAAATTTTAAAATTTGTTATTATATTGCTTTATATATAAGCCTATCGATGAACTCGATTGTAGGATTTATTCAAATTACTTTGTTAACGCATAAATGAAGTTAATTCCAAAAATTATTCGAAAGTTATTGTGATTGCAAAGAATACAGAAATTAATTTTAGCAGCAATGATATTTGTGTATAGTAAAGTAAGAGAAAAAAAAATATGGAATTACTGTGGTCTTTTAAATACATCGTTTTGTTGGATTTAAATCCAATAATTTGATTCTCTGCCTAATTATTTGGTTGTTATTTAATCTATATGTCGATTTAATTCATCTAAATTAAAAATTACATTCAAAATAAATATTAGACGTCTAATTTTACTATTGTTAAGTAATTTAATTAGACATTGAGGTTAAACTGTTCTATATATGACAACTAAAGAAACTTCATGTCGCAATCATTGTGCAACATAAGTGTGACAATTTAGGTAGCTTGCCATTTAGTTGTGAATTAGAAAACAGTAATGTCATTCATAATCGCTTAGTAAGAAAGTAGTCCTACATGGTATACACATAGTAGGTGATTGTTTGATGTATTAACATAGCAGTTGTGTATTGACTCATGCATCAAATAATTAACTGCCATGTGTATTGGCGTGGAGTGACTGCGAATAATATTATTCATTAAAAAATAACTTGTGAAGGGGGTGATATTTTTTTAATATTACTAAATTAGATATTTATCCTATTAAACAATTTTTTTTAATAAGTACAGACATTTTTTGGTTATATATTTTGACTAATATTCATTCTTCAAATCAGTCTCTTAACAAATACACAACTGCGTGTGTGTATGTTTCATGCGTAATCCAAAACAATCAGCAAAACCTTGTGTTCTTCGTAGCCTTCTAGGTAAGTAGGCAATTAGTTAGTGGATAAAAAGCAGTAGAAAGTATATTTGGTTCAAAATGTATAGGATATATAAGCATGTCTTTATTCCTATACAACCATAAATATTAGGGAAAATTGCTACCACGGTATCAAACTTTTCGTTTATTAGTAAACTTTGCCCAAACCTTTCATTTGTGCCTCCGTGAGTACCGAACCTTTAAAAAATTCGTAGTCCAAGTTCAAATTGAGGGTTTCCGTGAGTTTGACTACCAAAATCGTCAATTGACCCCAGAAATTAAAGTTTAATAATTTGACCACATAATACAAGGGTAAAATAGCCATTTTACTATTTTAATATAAAAGAATAAAAAAAGAAAAATATGGAAAATGGGTCACCTCCTTCACAAACCCTCCACACCCATCCCCCAATCCCACCAAAACAATCTACCATTATCGTCGCAATACCACCACCCACCGTCACTTGCCACAACCACCCTCCATCGTCTCCCATAACCACAGCTACAGCTACACCCACCAAATTAAACTACCGTTTTCTCCCTCAAGAACGACCATCCAAGCCATTTAACTAAATTAAACCATTTCTCAAGCAATAACCCATTCCCATCTCCTTCTTTAATGAAGTCATACCAGTAAAGAAATCAAGTGGTATAGAGGTGAAATTGTTGTTGAGTAGAAGGGATTGGGGTGAAGACAAACCGACAAGACTCGAGAGTGACCCAGTGAGTTTAAGGAACATCATAACCGACGAGATAATTGAAGGCTAAATGCAAATTTACCAGGTCCAAAATGTATCGCCCACAAGAAAGTCAAGTAATATCCCAGAAATATTAGCAGAATTTGCTGAAAATATTTGCAATGTTGAAGCACTCTTAAGACACTCCGAAGTTTCCTAGGATGAAAAGGGGTTATAATCCAAGTAAACTTACTATCATGAATTCAGGTACTATAGAGGTGAAATTGTTGTTGAGAAGGAGAGATAGGAGCGAAGACAAATCGATGAGACTCGGAAGTGACCCAGTGAGTTCATTTAACACCATCTTGAGAAATGGTTGATGAAAGGGTGGCGGTGATGCCGATATTGGGTGGGTAGTGGTGGCTGTCGGCGACGACTGTGGTTGGGTGGAGTTGTTTTGATTTTGGGGAAGAAGGAGATGGAGATGGTTTGTGACTTTATTTATTTATTTTTTTTTAAAATTTTTATTTAATAGGAAAAATGTGTTTTATCCAAAATGTCCCTGCGTTATTTGGGGAAAATAATAAAGTTTTTAATTCCTAGGGTCAACTAACAGTTTTTGTAGTCAAACTAACAGAAACTGTCAATTTGGACTTGGGCTGCGAATTTTTTAAAAGTTTGGTACTCACAATGGTACAAATGAAAGGTTTGGGCAAAGTCTGCTAATAAACGAAAGGTTTGGTACCGTGACTGCAATTTCCCTTAATATTATAGGCTTGTCAACTTGAAAATACATAAGCTTTTGGGGTGCATACAATACGTTATTTATTTATTTATTTATTTTTATGTGGAGATTTGTGGGGTTGTTTATGGATGTAACACATCGTTTATTTCCTGTTAAATTTTGTTAAAGTCAAAATTTTTAGTAAATTTTGATAGAAATTAATAAAAATATCTGATTGAAAAATTAACAAAAGTTGTGAATTTCATAAAATATGCGACTGAAATTGATTATTGACTAGGATTTAAGAAATTTTTTATCAACTTTTTAGCTAAACCATATAAGAAATTAAACACAAATTTTCAATTAACTCATAGCAAATGATTAGCTTAAGCCTGTCTGGCTGTGTGCGCGTGTTACATTAATAAAACTTGCTATGAGCTGATTTCACCAAGACATTGCGTATTTGAAACAATAATGCTATTAATATTATTGGTATTATAATCGTTATGATTTGGTCACAAGATAATGACAATAAGGAAATAAACAGTGGCATAACAAAAATGCCAAAATTTATGTGGAAATTCAAGATGGAAAAATTATTGACAGAAGAGGATAATATCAATCTAATTAATAGTAATTGTGTTTACAACAAGATTCTAATACCCTCAATTAAAAGCTAAAACTCTCAAAAATGTTCTATGAATATTATGACCTCAATACAAGCAGTAGAATATATATTTAAATTCTAAAATTCAAGTTGTAGATGAATAGACTCTATGTGAGTGGCAGCTCCATCGCTCGAATGCCGTGCAGGCAACAACTCTCACTTGAAAATTTGATGACGTCGTTCAAGTGATAGGTTAGTGAAAATGTAGCGACTTTTTCTTCTCGATCCATAATTCGATCTCTTTAAGACTACTTCAACCAAAATTCCAATATCCACTAGAATTTGGGTCAAATTACAACAAATCTGCACTTTGAACCAAATATCAATACAAGGGACTTCAAACATGTATCATCAAAGCAAACATCACTCCACTTTTTTCAAACAAGCTCCAATGGTCTAAATTAATGACAAACACCAACTAACTTCAAGCAATTATCAAACTTATCAATGGAAAATGATTTTGTCAATATATCAGCACGATTATCCTTGGTATAACATTGCTCACTACAATATCACTACGAGTAATCATTTCATGCACAAAACGATACCTCACATCAATATGCTTAATCCTCTCGTGAAAATATTTGTTTTTAGTAAGAAAGATGGCATTTTGACTATCACAATAAACTATAGATATCTTCAAGTCTTCACTATTTCACCGATCAATCCCTTCAACCACATAGTGTTCATACATACTTCTGTAATGGCCATGTTCTCTACCTCCATTGTTGACAATGCTACTGTATTTTGCAAAGTAGCTTTCCATCTAATAGCACAGCCTTCAATAGTAAACACATATCCTATAAGTGATATCCTCTTATCAAGATCTATTGCCTAATTTGAATCTAAATACTCAATGATCCAATCTATATTTCCACCAAAATGCAAACAAATATTCATAGAGCCCTTTAAGTATTTGAATGTCTACTGCACTGTTTTCCAATTTTCTTTGCTAGGATTTTCCATGTATCTACTAACTGCATTGGCTGGATATGTCAAATATGATCTTGTACAAACCATATTATATATAAATGAAACTACTGCGTTAGAATAATGAATTCAAAATATATAATCAATCTCTTCATTTGACTGAGGACACAATCCATATGACAATTTAAAGTGGACAGTCAAAGTAGTACTGACTGCCTTTGCATTTAGCATATTGAACATATGAAGCACCTTCTCTATGTACCCATTCTTACTCAAATACAATTTGCCAGTTTTCCTATCCCTCAATATTTCTATACTAAGAATTTTTCTTACTGCACCTAAGTCTTTCATTTCAAACTTCTCACAAAATTGAGCTTTTACTTTTCTTACTTCTACTTTGTCCTTGGCTACTATGAGCATATCGTGGACATATAATAACAAATATGTAATCGATCCACCTTCTCCAATTCTGAAGTACTTACAACTATCATAACTATTTATAATGAAATTATGGGTAGCTATGAATGAATTGAACCTTTTATACCACTGTCTCAGCGACTGCTTCATTTCATACAAGGATATTATCTTCTTTTCCAAAAACTATAAAACCCTCTGGTTGTAACATGTAAATATTCTCCTCAAGTTTTCCATACAAAAATGCTGTTTTGAAATCCATCTGCTCAATCTCTAAATCATCAATTAGTGAGAACACATCTGTGTAATCAACACTTGAAATCTAACTGTAGCCCTTTGCCACCAATCTGCATCTTCAATCCTTGATGTCTCTTGCTTTCTTTTGAACACTTGCAGCAAACAATCTTTTTATTCTTAGGTAATTTCACGAAGTCT